ACATACTGTAAACCAATAAAATCTACAATTCAAGTTCCAATAGTAAGGTAGGGAGGCATACACAAAGTCGAGTTTCTGGGAGTGTCTCATAAAGACCTGTCAAAATAATTCTGACTTTCAGACCTTCAGATGTCTTCAGAGGTAAAGGAGGTGGACAAGGACGTTGCCCAGTTCAGACTGCAAGGTCAGTTTAATTTCTTAGAACATGCCAAAGGTGGATCTCCTCTGGAGTCCAGCTGCGGAAAGAGTCTGTCTTTTATTATTTTATTTAGACTGCAGCTTCAAGACTCTCCTGTTTCATGTGTTGTAGGTAGACAACTAAAGGAAACACATAGTGGCCTCCTCTTTCCCTGTTTTATTTTCCTTCTACCATTGCATCACAGGAATGAACTCAGCAATAGTGGAGGAAGACACAGAACACTATACATTTAAAAAACTGAAAAGAGTGGAAGACAAGAGTGAATGTGCCAGAGTGTGCCATATTACCATATCCAAATACCTTTACTAGCTACCAAGGAGGAGTAATGTATTGAATTTTCTGTTCATGTGTTGAAATCAGTATACATGGTATCCTGATTCACAATAGGACCATAGATATTGACAATTATATACAAACATAACAAAGAAGGGATATGTATTGTATGTAATGCAATGCAATCAAATCAAATTTTGCTCACCTTAAAATTGAAGGTCTGTTTTTTGGTTTGAGGCTGGTGTGTAGTGCAGGGCCTGTTTCCTGATTGGACTATGGTATTTTTATTTTTGCAGCTGCTCAGCTTTCATTGCAGTTAGTCAGCTTAGAGCAGCAGATGGAGAATCAAGGTCAGTTTGTGCATCTTTTCTTATGGGGGTCATCTGATGTCTGCCATTTGGGCGATGACCTCTAACCCTAACTCTAATGCTACACTATATATTAAACACCACAACAAATTTCAAAGTTTGAAAGGCATTTGCTCCAGGTGAAATTATCTTGATTGATCGAGGGTGATCAATCAGGTCACCCTCAAGCATCCAAACTAGCGTTGACAATGTTTGCCAGGACTGAATCGCACGCAGCCTGTTCAGCACATGAAATTTTAACTTTGTAGCATGTCCTCAGGAGATCATGAGCTTGAAATGGAGCTCTTACAATCTCAGTTGACATGACAAGGTCATAACAAGTTGAGCTTCTCATTTGATTGCCTTGACCAGAGGACAATTCATCTGCTCATCAAGCAGAAAGAAGTCAGCAAATACGAAATTCAAGCTTTGATTAAGCAAAGAACAATATCACTGTAATTATGCCTTGTAATTGTAATGAGGTGTGAATGAGTGTCCACTTATACTGTACATATCCCTAGGCTCTCATGCAGCGTTAGACATGAAGAAGGTAGAAGGGGAGATCTCCAAGCTACAAAGCAAAGGTCAGTCTTCACACGCATAGTTGGTACAAGAACTACAGTTCAGACTGGACTCTTTCTGCATTCACTGTGAGTTTTATTTTTCCAGATACTGACTTTTCTACCATGGTGCTGAAGTAAAAAACATGGCATAACTTTTTTTTTAATCTGATATGGGAAGAATTGGGAGGGGGAGTGTTGAGTGGAAAGATTAAAGATATATAGTAATAATAAACCAGGGATTCTAAGTGATAAGGTAAAATACGAAAAAACTCAAACATGAAAATATTTAGAGGATTAGAATTCTACTACTGTCACTAACTGGATTTAAAAAAGCTAAACAATTAGCAGATTTTAATTAATTTTCTATTTGAATTGTCACTACTTTCCAAAGAAATACACTTACAATAGTCCACTTAAGCTGCTCTTGACTTAATAGCATTTGCAATGCAAAACTGTCACTGTGGAAAAGACACAGTGACACAATCATGAAGGGTCTGACAGCCACACGACTGTTAAAATGTACGGTCTATGTGTTCAGCAGATTTCAACCTCTTCTGTTATGTCCTTTTTTCAGTCTCTCGGATTTCCACAGAGGTCCAAAAAAATAAAGATGAGCTGTCTTCTCTAAAGGGTAAAGGTTAGTGCAACAGTTTGAATTACTGTGCTCATTCATGAAATAATAGATAATTAGAGTCACTCTTCTTAAGGAATCTTTGAAGTTACCTTCATACTTTCATATTATTTTTACTCATTGAAAATTCTGAAGTGCTTCATAATTCCTTCCTTTATCTAAATGTTGGCTTGCCAAACTAACTGCAGTAGCTGTTGTGGAACAACTGCTCTCTGAAAAGTTTGTTCACCTGGAATTTTCTAACAGAATGAATTATCCCCTAAAAGTGGGTAGAGAAAGGAACTTCCTAATGCATTGTGCCAAAATCTCCATCACAGAAGCACTCCGTGCTCTGATGTACAACATGAAGAATGGACGTTCCTTGAATTATAGCAATCAATCCTCCTTTTTTGCAAGGGGGGATCTGCTGTCAGTTGCCAGATGTGTTAAAGCCTGCTGTGTTTTCCTGTTTTTGTCTGTTAATCTTCAGTTTGGGATGAAAAACCCTGCCCCTGTGGCTGGAGGCACTTCAGTGGCTATTGTTACTACTTCTCCAAGGGATACAGGACCTGGGAGGAAGCGAAACAGTACTGTCTCAACCAGGACTCAGAGCTCACCATGATTAAGAGTGAAGCTGAGCTGGTGAGAGACAGCTGCCATGCTACCAGCTGTACAGATTCAGCTGTTACACCGCTCAAGTTTTCAAAGTGGTGTCAAAGCCCTCATTCTCGATGCTTTTACAGAATTTCAAGTTGTAATCTGCAGGGTGTTTTTAACCTACATAGGCCCACAAGGGCCCTAGAGCCATGCAGACCCTACGGCTGGGGTGTCCTATCCTGGTCCTGGTGGAAGGTTGCGTCTGCAGGTTTTTTAGGTCTTTTTAAAACAGCAGCACCTCAAGAGCTGAGGGATGCTGTCATACTTGTCCATTTAAGAAAGCCACCTTGTGATTTAGCTATTAAGAGCTTTGTTGGATTAAAACCTTGCGGATTTCAACACCCCCCTCATAGTCAGGATTGGACATTCTTTACAGGGTTGGCAGCTAATAAATTTCAACCCAGGCTTAACTTTATAATAAAGTTGCTGATGTGTTAAAAATACATGGTTTTGCGTTCTAAATGAGGTGCTGCTGCAGTAAGATTAGTGATGTCTTTGAACACTCCTGGCTAAAAAATAACTTTTATAAATACTTTCTACAGTATTTACTGATGTCTTATAGAACAACACAAGGACCTGAAGTACAGGCAATTTAAACTTTGTTACAAGAATGTAAACAAAATCCTTCTTGATTAGAGAGTTTAAAGGACAGTTCAGAAGACATTTTCCAGAAATGGTTTTAAGTTTTAACAAGTTTTTACAGGTTTTAAGAAAAATCTGTCCACTAGAGTTAACACTGCATCTTAAAGATCCATCTGGTTTACACATTTGACAAATGAGTGGACTTTCTTACTTAGGGAATAAGCCCTTGTTTGAAAGACAATGTTTTGTAAACTATTTTTAAAGTATCATTTTTAAAACAGTTTATTTGCTTATTTTGTTTTTATTTCAAGTTCAAGCCTAAAATCCATATGATTCTTCATCAATGACTGTTGTTTCTAGCAATTCATTGAAGGAACTATCAGGTTAAATCACTGGGTGGGACTGAATGATTTACAGAGGGAAAATGACTGGAAGTGGCTGGATGGCAGCTCCGTTACCAAAACGTAAGTGCTGAGAAGGACTATCCTCTTAAACCTCACTTTGACTTACAACATTCTGTTCCTTAGTCACTGCAAGTTTTCAGTTCTTCCTATTCCAAAGCATAGATTGACTTTACTTAAACTCTGTGGGCCTTGGTACCTTAGTTTAAAAAGATCTCTGCAGAAAATGGTTAAGTCCACTAATGGGTAAGTCCTTCAGATCCACAGTCATTCAGGAATTCTAAGCATCTTTGATTCCCCAATTATTAAAAACTTTTAAAAACCTGAATCATTACAAAACTGAAAGCACTAAGGGAGGTGAAGGTCAACTCCCAAGCTCAGGATCTGTAGGTTACAATTCCGCTCCTTCCCAGATCTTTAGCAGCTGAGTTGTGAAAATAAGTAAAGTCTGCTGGATACCATTCATTTCTTATTCATTTCTATTGTAACTGCCTGTTTTTAACCTTCTCTGAGTTCCACCAAAATATGAAGCACAGGGTTGGTTGGTTTAACACAGCATAGCTCCAGTCCTCAAAACATCCGTAGGTGTTTATTCCATGGATTCCATGGATATTCCTTCACTACATCCCTTATACTCCCCATCACTGAGAGCGGAATCTTCTCATTGAAGCCCAAGAGCATTGAATTCTCTTGAAGAGGGTGGCCAACACTTTGGCTTAACAGAATTCATTGTTGCTGGGAGAGGGGTTATGTGACTAATTGCTGGGAGAGTATCTAAGAGACAGGTGTTGAAGCCCAACTCAGGATGAACTGTGCACATGATAGTGAGACTAACTTAATGAGAGGGGAATCCTGAAGAGTAACAGGCTTTTCTGTCTTTAAGATTTTGGCTTCCTGGAGAACCAAATGATCATGGAAAGGAAGACTGTGGGGAGATAAAGAATGGCAGACTCAATGATATGCCCTGTTCCTTCAAACAGCACTGGATTTGCCAAAGAGCACCATAACACTGCAAATTATTAGGTGATTCTGTTTGTACTTTTACAGCTGAGTTTAGCACCATGCATTCACTTGCATCATGAACTTTAGTGAACTCTGCTCTAGTGAACTCTGTAGAAAATTGCTTGAAGATCTACATTATATGATATCCCATTTTGTGCTTTAAATAGTGTATTGTTTTATGATTGACATTTCTTTTGTTCTGCTAGTAATGTTAGCAAAAGCTTTTAAAAGTGTGATTTTTAACAGGAATTGAATAAATACAAGTTCAAGGTTCATATCTGATTGGAAATTGGTTGTTGACAAAGGCTATGAGCTAAAAACCCTCAAAGTCTTTTATGTGATCACGTCCTTGTTGTTTCTGTCAATATACTGCATTCTGTGAGCATACCACTCAGTACATTCATGTGTAATATTGATTACCCTTCCTCAAACACATTCAGAAAGAAGACTTAAAAACTTTCAAATGTACTAAAGTCAGTGTCTTAGAGCTTGTATGGTTTATCTTAAAAGAAAATCATAACGCCCAGGAGTTACTCGCCAAACTGCACACCACACCATTAACAGAAAGACTATAATCACTATCCTTCTTGATTATATATATATAGCTATAATCAAGACAACTTCTTGAGTATATCCACCCTTAGAGTGCATACTGCTTTTCAGCCATTTAATTCATACTCACCCAGAGGAGTATCCTTTCTACCACAAGATAGATATTTGCCTTTAAAAACTTAAAGCTTAAGATTAGAACATGCCAGTTTGCATTTTATTTGAGATTGTGCCTTTCCAGTAATGCATATTTAATAATGTCAGCATTTTTCAAGATCAGGCAGTCACATTTCCTGAGCAATATATCAAATGGACTAAACACTATTTGGCATATCACTCAGGAGAAAACATGATTTCTTAATTATTTTCTTTTACTGATTCAGTATAATTTAGCATACCATTCTCTCTTAAAACAGTGGCTCCCTGTAAAAAAAGTTCTAAATCAGGCTAACCGATTTATATTTTCTTTTTAAAGGCAGATTTTTAAATTCATAAAACATTGAATAAGACTCCCAACTGCCAGATTAATTATATCCATAATTACGTATGAAGAGAAATGAGCTAATTGTGGGAATATTACAATTCATATATATATATAAACAATATATACATTATCAGTCCCACCTGTGTCAAAGCACCATGTATCAATGACCAACAGTATCAAGAGCTCTTTAGACAGAGTTAAAGTTGAGGACAGTCAGTTTAAAGCTCTGAATGCTAAACCATAACACTTGAAGTCAGGAATTCCATTGAATTGTATTGGTAAAACTCAGACATGAGTGCAAAAACAAGTACACTATGTTATGCCAGACCCACAGATGAAAATTAGGGCACAGCAATTTAATGATTGCAAGAGTAGTTTCAGCAGTGGAGATTAGATGGATTTATTAAATAATTAAAGAGGTAGTGGGGAAAACCCAAATGGGAGAAGTCCTGGAGCAATCCTGCGGAGGAGGAGGAGGAGGAGGAGGAGGAGATGACAACGACGACGACGACGACGACGCACTACTGAAACTCAATATCTGAACCCTGAGGAGGGATCCCTCAGGGCTGAAATAGTCTGTGATGTTCCCTTTAACAAGGTTGATAGACCCGGCCTGATCTCACTTGAGATGGTCCTGACGAGCTCCTTCCACATGTGGAATGTGGAATGGAATTTGGTGCAGGTGCACTGGAGCTCGTCAGGGCATCGCACACTAGAAGTCAAAACAAGACATAAAAGTCAAAACAAGCAAGTGGATGAATTAAAGACATTGGTTGGACCTGCTAATGTAAACTGCCATTGAAATGAAAACCAACACATACTGTACTGTTCCAGTCCTGCTCCAGTAATTCCCCTGAAGCATGATTGAAAACCACTGTCCTAAAGTACTTACACAGACCACACAAACAGACCATAGAATGAGGAAAAAATACACATGCAATACCTGTGATAAAGCAGTCTGATAAGCAAACCTGGGATATAAAGTGTAGAAAACTGGATCTGGCCTGGAGTCATTGCTCCTGGCTTGGCTTGAGATAATTTTGAACAGTTGTACGGTTGTACATGACACCACAGAAATACAGTAGCTGAAAGGCAGGATAACATCATCAAGAACAGCCGCTGGACCATAAGTAGAATATGGACTCTTAAATCATCATTCATGGGAATAACATGACTGTACTCTGACTATAAATTCCTCTGTAACACTGTTACAATTTGGGGAACTGTGGGAAATACACCTTGTGTGTGTCTCCTTCAGTGATCTCCGGAAGTGGCTATTTTCGTTATAATTAAACTAATCTCTGACCTTCACTGGACTACGCTGTGACTCCTTGCATCCCTATCAAAGCATAAACTGACATGGAAAAAGTCCAGAAATCAGAATTCTTACAGTGGGTGTAAAGGATAGTGCTTATGAGTCTGGTTGGAAGCTATTTAAAGCAAGAGCTGACATTGTCCTCTCAACTGCAAGATTCAAAAGCACTTTCATTTTTACAGTTAAAGGAAATAGAATCCTTTCTACCTCCCAAAGCTACTGGGGTGTGTGTATGTTTTCCATTGGGAGAGAAGAAGAAACTTCACTGTTCACGCCTGTGTGGCCCTTTTACAAAGCAGACCATTGCCACAGGTCTCTGCTGCATGCGGTGCACGATGTTACAAAAGAGGTAACCCCAGGCTGGACCAAGACCTCCCACTGCATAGTCTGACCCTGGCCCCCAAAGATCTCGGCTCTTTCAGTCCCCTTTAAAAAACACCCGTCTAGCACATGATCTGCAACTGGTAGTAGTCAGCAACAAGAAGCTAAGCCTTAGCCCCAAGAGGCCTGGAGCCTGGTGACAGTTTGATGCATTGACATCATGATACGCCTAAACGGACAATAATGATCACATATACACATTATAATATACTCTAGCTGTGTGCGAATAAATAGAGAACCATAGAAGCTCTTATTTCCCGATTTGTTGAAATACACACACAAAGAATGGATACAAATGACAGGAGGTTAGCATGTCTGTATATACTGTAGTATGCATTACATACAGTACCATACTGTAGATCTTTGGGTTAAGGGACCGAGATGCAGGACTGTTACAGTGTTTTCATTCACAAGGTATTGGTTAATTGCCAAAAAAACACTGAAAGCTTAACTTCAGGAAATAGCTTTCTTTCCCTGTTTAAGCAAGAATAGCATTTTTTTTCCAAATAAAACAATAAAATACACCGAAGGCGGTAGTAAGTCCTGCACTGACACCGACCTGTCTCACATAATTGACAGCCAGCACTGTATAAAGGAACGCCAGCTGACAGTCCTTTCAAACACCAGCTTTATATCAGGATTATTTACATAAGCATGTGTTGTGCTGTGGTGTGCTGATCTATTGGGACTGTAAGACAGAGAAGCTTGCAGCAAAGCTGACATGGGTATGTCACACTTGCTCACCTCTTCCTCTTGAGTTTAGTGCAGTTACACTTTGAATGACCGCTTTGATATGCAAGATTTTCTGTTTCTTCTGTCTTGGCAGTGCAAATTGAAGAAAGACAGGATTTGTACAAACGTGCAAATAAAAATACAGTAGTTCTAAGGACCATCTTAGGTTTTTCTTGTCATCAGCAGTCTGAGAACAAATGTTTTCTGGGATGGTATAAATTCTGCTACAAATGATCTCAGAATTGCATGCAAGTTGGTTTACCTCAAAGTTGGTTGATCTCAAAGCTAAAGTGATTAAAGTGGGTTTATATTTCCCTGAATGGCTGCCATCTCCTATAGGAGGAAAGGCTGAAACACAGAATAGAGGAAATGAGAATATATGTCATTGGCTGGAGAAAATTTCACTGATAATCGAGAGTCATGTAATCATGCACCTGAACAGAAATAACAATAGAAACCTAACACAAGTAATACAAATATGGAAACAATTTGGTTAGGTGGTAATACTCTGATTCACATAAAATGTTTCACAAACCACTTGTCGTTAATGATATCTTACTTTTTTCTGTTTTTTCTGTTTCAGCTACATTTAATTGTGGAATGAATGTCACCGAGAAGGAGATGATAATACTAAACTTTGTGTTTGAAGAAGATCTAAAAAACAAGAGAAATGGTTCAGGTACCTGATTTACAACTTTTATTGCATATACTGTATTCACGTGAGATGTATGGTATAAACGGCCAGCTATCTTTAAATTAATTGGGCTAGCCATGTTTTCAATACACTATCATTGGATGTGTACACCAGTGAGACTTTTAATTAGCTGGACAAACTAAAAAGGTACAGTAATTTGGGACTGTTTTTTCATGTCTCATTGTAAAACAAGGCACCTCTAACAAGGAAAAGGAGTGTCACCTTCTGGCTCACTAAAGGAATTACCTTGTCTTGTCATGAATTGCAACAATTCAGGAAGATGATCATTTTTTGATAATACGAACTTTGAGATTTCTATTTCATCTTCGGATCAAGGAGGAAAAGAAAATTAAGCACAAGGTTTTTTTTATAGAGAACCATGGTTGGATGCAACAAACCAGAGTGAAAAAGCAACTAATTTGATCAAAGACAAGCAACAAGCAAGCAAATAATGTCTAATTGTAAATGTTTGAACATTTTCTGGATTTAGGATTCAGAAGGATGCAATACATTATGTATAATCTGGCAGCCCTCTGTTTTGGATTACTCCTTATTGGATTTATTCTGGGAATCACCAAGTGTAAGTGTAATTTTTTTCAAATGCTGAGATTCAATTTGCATTCAATTGTTGACAGTAAGATGGTATGGTGGTGCAGTGGTTGGCACTGTGGTTGGTAATTCCTGATGTACTATCTTTGTATGTGGAATTTGTATGTTCTCCATGTGTTTCTGTAGATTTCCTCTGCTTTTGCTTTCTACCTCAGTCCAAAGGCATGCTGGTAGGCTAGTTGACCCCTGGGAAAATGAGCCGTGGTGTGAGTGTGTGCGTGTATTTTTCCGTGTGCACTCTGGGATAGGATCTGACTCCCATATAACCCTGAATTGGAAGAAGCTGTTAGAAAATGGATGGATGGAACACCCGGTAACATTTTACATGACTAAAGACTAAAACTAACTCCTTCATGACCATAACACGATACAACAACATGTATAGTCATTTACAGCCTTTTATGGAAATTACATACAGGTACATGATTACTTACAGCAGCAAAAAGTGAGGAAATGTCCAGCTGAAGGCACAGATAAGACCTTTAGGGAGAGAGAGGTCAAGTTAAACATAAAGGAAGATACCAAGGTGAGCTGACATGGACTTTATGTAACTGTAGATGTAGCTCAGTATCAGTGGCCCTGATATGTTTGTGTGTAGTTCTATTTTGCTA